GAAGAGGAAAGCACGTCCTACGACGCCGATAATGAGGGCCTGTTGCCCTGTAAGCTAACCTTGAACTCATAGAGTCGTCTACCTGTGCCTAACCTCTCTGCTTAAGCACAATTCAAGACCTACCGTAACTTCAACTTTGCAGAACTGTTCAGTAATGGAAACAACAGCTTTTCTGGGATCTCTTAAGTCAAGCGGCACGGTAAAATCAGGTCCACTGGACATTTGTAATAGCTCGATCGGATCAGGAGAACCAGTGCCAACTGCGAAAACTGTTACATTCCTGTCTTTGAGAACCTGTGCGTTGTCTTTTGGATTTATTTTTGTTGGTGAATTAGGGTTCTGTGACTGCTTACCATCCGTGAAAATGATCAGCACCTAACAATAACAAAATGAGCAGTTGAAACAACATGATTCATTTGATAGGCTGAATAATAAACGCTTTTTGATCGATTCTTACTTCTGATCTTTAAACGCATACATGACGTCACCATTAACGACGATTTAGTTCGTTATTATATAAAACTGATAGATTCTACGTTGCTGTGTGTCTTTACAGTAATGGATCACAGAAGACGACAAGATGTGGTAAGAAGATCAATATCACACTCGGCTGCGCTTTGTGTCCCACTTCTTTGTTCCTGCCACATTTTGGAATCTATTTGTTTACTCGCTTGCAAAACGCAATTGGACATTTCTTGTCATATTCAGTTGAAAAGGTTCGTTGTACAATTAAGTATGTACAACATGGCTCAAAGTCGGCATAACGAACGTAACCTGACTTCCAAAAACATAAAAATGTTTGGTTTCACTATAGTAGCTAAATCATACTTTGCATCTAAAGTGACTAACTGTAAACACGAAACCACGCTGAAGGTGAGGTAAAACCACTGAAAAACAACTGAAAATAGTACCCACAGTACGTTTTGAGCAGATTTAGTAAAAGCGTCCACATGGAAATTTTGGAGCAACGCGATCGGAAAAATTTAAGCTTCAGTTGACTGTACGTACAGGTGTAAATTTTGATTGAATGATTTTATTGTCGCCAGGCAAATGTATTTCCTCGTAAGCAAAGCGTTTCACTCACGTTATTTTATAAACAGTACTCTGTTTCTACATGAAGAACGAAAAAGAAAACCCTTGAAAACCTTTATCTACCAATTCAATTAGTTT